ATAAAGGAGAGTAACTGCCCAAGGTATGAGACCACTCTAGGAAACTGGGTGGAATGTTAGAATTAAAGCCAGGAAAATACCCTTGAAGGGTCCCCCTGTATCCCTTACATGCCTTCCATGGCCAGGCTCCAGGATGAAACAAGAGAAGCAGGGAGAGAAGTACAAAGCTTAAAGGCTGGGAAGCTGAGGGTCTCAGCCTAACCCCCATCACGAAGCTCCTCTGAGCCTCTGCCAAGGCCAGGACAGTGCCCCTCACAATTAGCTATCCTCTAGTGCACATTAACACTAGGACCCTCTCCCAGGCCCCAGGTAAGGATCGGCAAAGAAGAGCTAAATAAAGCACTTACAATATTAGAGTCTCTAAAAAATGCTCCAAGAGTCATTTAACTCCCCTTAGACTCTTACTCCTTTCCCAATAATGTTCAAACATAATGAGAGCTGGCAATATGCTAACAGAAAAAACTTTAACTTCCTCTCATTGCTGTAACACACAAACAATCTCGATGCCCTCAAAGGAAAATTACTACTGCTTCAACTCATGAATGCTGTTTTGTCCCAGTAAACCCCTTACTCCCCTCTTTTTACAAGCAGACATGCATTCTGACAATATAGGCCTGGGGGAGTATGCTCACCTTCCAAGGAAGCATCAGAATATTTTGCTTGTTTAAAGTGAGGTTATTTTGGTCCTTCCTTTTTAGACTGGCTGCCAACTGGGACCTGGAGACACGCAGGCCGCCATCTGCCTCACCCCAGCTGTTCCTGACCTGCCATCCGTCTCCAACCAGGGACACCTCATATCTGCCAGGTCAGGTGAACAACTGATGAAAGATGCTTGAGGCCAAGCTAGAGCCTGGATGAATGTATTGGCAGCACACAGCCTGCGAAGCAACCTTGACTTCCTCTCATTAATGGGTGGCATGCCACTCTCCATGACAACACAGAGATGTATTCTGAGGAGGAAATGAAACCTTGCCGAGGAGCTCAGCAATGATCTTTTCTTACTGCATGACAGTTAATTCAGCTAAGAACTAAAAGGCTACTTTTTAAAAAATATTATATTCTTAAGGTAGAATATGCTACACATGTTAGAGATTTATATCACTTATCCTTTCAGAATGACTGTTATGATGCAGACTAAATTACCAGTTCTAATTATTGATGCTCCGATAGGAAAAGGAGCATGTTTAATTTCATGCATCTCTAAACTGCCGCGATTCCAATATGATTTGAAAGTCTAAATAAGCCTTTTAAAATGGAATTTGCAAACGTCCTTGGTGAAGAGGAGGATACCACAAGGAAAGATGGAATTCTTACGACTTGAGCTTGCATTCTATTAATGCAATAATCAAATACTCTTACAAGGTTTTGTTAAAGCTTGTTATAACCATGGAAACAATGGCTTTTACCGATGCTACAATTTTACATGCAGTTTTATCTTTGAAAAGTGAGATACAGAGCCTGACGCAGGGCTCACTTGTCTGCACACATGGGCTTGGGAGGTGCTGAGCTCAGCGTGACCGACTAGGTGGCCCAGGAAAGTGATTCCACAAAATGATGCAGGAACACTCTGGATAAGCTCACTATACAATAACACTGCCTCAAGCTGACTGATCCCCAAAGGGGATATTTCATGGCGGGAGAAGCTAAGATGATGGTTCTTAGAAAACAAATGAGATACATGGGATTTCCTCTCAGCTCCTCACTTCCACTCTCTCCTGCTCCACCATGCTCTGGTCCCATACAAGCCCTTCAGGCTCCCTCTCCCTGTTTTCCCCTTGGTCTAGTTTCCCACCCTCCCAGCCATATCTGCACATATTCTATGAAGTTCCTGGACCAGATCCTTCTTATCTGGTTTTACTTATTTACTATGTTTTTATTCTCTTATTTTAATCATTTTCTGTATTTTGTTGCAGCCCAACAGTTCTTCACATGCCTTCCTTCTCTTCTTGTTTCTTAGCTTTCACATTTTGTTTACTTCACTTCCATTTAGCCTTTTTGTTGTTTTAATCATTTTTGCTCTTGGTTTCTTTTCCCTTTAGACTGTGTAGAGCGTTACTAGGTTTTTTAAAATTGTCAACCTATATAGTTTGTGAAATTAACTGCCTTAATTACCTTTATTTCACATTATTCTTTTGTTTAAAGGATCATTCACCTTTTCTTGGTGTTTCCAAGCTTTACGCATCAGCAGCAGGACAGAGCTGGTCACAGGGTGGTGGCCCCACACAGCAGCGCACAGCACAGCACAAATAGGTGGCTACGTACTTGTTCTCCCTCCTGCCATCTGAATAGAGGCCTTTCCAGTTCTCCTTAAAAGATCCCTGGAACTCTTAAATATTGAAGCCCCTACACTTTTAAACTTTTGGACTTCAGGCGATTCAAAGGCTAAAAGCTTTCCTGGGATGACGGGATGATAACAAGCTGGCATATGTCAGTAGCATCCTGAACTGCTGGAACCTGGAACTGCTTATCTGAGCACCTGATACAATGGCAGAGGCTCAATCAACTCTCCAAGGATCACTCAAGGCATCCATACCTCTTTGGCTCTAATGCTCTTTACATAATCACTGGGGAGATTTGCTCACTAGAAGACGAGACCACGCTGCAGCTACACTGGGTGTGCAGTGTCTGATCTCTACAGGCTGAGGTGGGCAAAGAGTTGAGCTCATGACAAGGGGTGGCAGTCCGAAGTCCTGCTGTGAGCCTTACCCTCAAGACACTGGCATCACAACCCTGGCATGCCACAGACCTAGAAGGCAGAAACACCACAGGCCCTCAGTGTCTTCAGTATTAACCCTCCTGATTCCAATTAATGGAGACAAACCCCAAGAGTTCACGACTGTAACTTTTCATTTTGCTGAGGCATTACTATGTTTTGTATTTATTCTCTGAGCTTGGAAATCGGGAGTGAGACTCTTAGATAAAGAGTGAATCTAGCCAACCTCCATTATCTACATCTGAATGCAGCTTTATGGAGTTATACTTAATCTCATATATGTATAACATTCATCTTAAGAAGTCATAAAAACACTTCTTTCTTAAAAAATATGTTGAGGAAAAGAGAGTTAATTTTCTTAGTAATGGAAGGAGAAGAAAGAATAGGAATAAAAAAGTGATGCCATAGTTAAAACATTAGTTTTAATTAAGCAAAGGACAGGGTAATAAATTAAACAGAGGCCCAGATTTAAAATGGACATCTTTTGTATGATCTACACAAAAATAGGAAATAGAGATTTTGTGGAACTTTCAGTAAGACTCCGGGCCATATGAAACTGAACATCATGTGAAGATTTATTTACAGAAGACCTCACAGGTAGGACTTACATTTCTCAGTTAACACTTAATTCATCACTTAGTCATCACTGTGTTCCCAGCACTTAGGACAGAGGCTGGGCACCCACTAGATGCTCAGTGAACACGGGCTGAATGTTGAACCACTGAAATCAACGATATGTTCCAGAGGTACTTCGGGACAGAAGAAAACTTGGTACTCATTTCTTCCAAGACCATGGCACTGTGTTCCACAGGACAGAATTCTATGAAATAGTTTCTACTTAGAAGTTGGAACTATTTTCTTTACTTGCCATAAATAAAGCAAAATAATGAGAACTGGGCAGATGCCAGTCCAAATACACCTTTTGCCACAGGCAGAAATAACTATCAAAGGAGCCCACCAAGGCCAAAGAAGCACTAAAGGAAGGCAGGGCTTGCTCTCATCCAAGGATCCTTTTATGTTTATCTTAACGAAGTGTAGGAGGGCACTCACAGTTACGATTTCAGGACCTAGAATTTAAACTTAGGACACTGTTAATGGCAACCTTAGATTTAAAATAAAGGTTTCTTTACAGTGTGGAATCTAATCTACTTGACATGTATATTTAAACTGAAAATGGCAAAAAGGTGGTAGAATTCACCCAATTCAGACAGGAGAAAAAGTCTCATTATTATTTTGAAAATAAAATAAAAGGAAATTGAGTAAGTTTTCACTAACATAAAGAAAGCTTTTAAAAATGCACTCATATGGAAATAATGGAAACTTTCATGATCAAAACAAAGCAGGCTCAAATGGGAAATTTTAACACAATGCTTACTGGAAACACTTTAAACTTCAATATCTGGCTAATTTTGGAACCAAGGATTTGGAACAAATCATAAATCGGATTTTTAAAATCACAATAAGGAAACACAATAAAAATTAGTCATAAGGTACCATTTAGACAGGTATTTGATAGGCAGAGTATCAACTATAAGGATAAGCCACAATTTATTTGGCCAGTCACTTATTTACAGAGTTTGAGGTTATTCCAGGCTTTTGCTGCTGTAGACGGTGCTGAACTGAACATGCTTCTTGTGCCCGTGGGTGAGTGTGTCTGTGTGCAGTTCACAATAGGGCTGCTCACAGCTGAGAGAAAGAATGAAGTAACTCGTAGTGCAGAAACATTTAAAATAGTATTAATTAATAACAGGTGCCAAGTAGTATATATAGAGCATATTTACCTCTGAATAAAAAAGAAGAGATAAATATACAATTTTTCATCTATCAGATTATCAAAAAATCCAAAAGTATGACTCCTATTGGCCGAGCTGTAAAAACAGGCCTCTCTCATATACTGTCGGTGAGAATGTAAACCAGCTACAACCACAAAAGAGAGCAATTTGGAAACAGCCATTGAAATTACAAACATAAATACTTATAAGGACTATGTGCAAAATTATATATGTATAAGTTTATTAATTACTATATTGTTTATAATACAAAAAGAAAGCACAAACAACTAAAGACCCATCAACAGGGGACTGGTTTAAACACTATGTTCATAGTATGGAATATTACATAGACATAAAAAAATGAGGAAGCTCTTTGTGTACATATAGGGAAAAATTGCTAAAACACATACTTAAAAAGCCAGGCGTGGAAAATTATATATAATACATATCACCTTTTGTGTTACAAAGAGGTGTGAGGCAGGAGAGTATGCAGCCCACTGGCACGGCCAACTTACTTGTACAGGTAATACTCTGCATGATCTATCTCTTCTCGAGATGAAATGTTGTCCACAAACTAAAAGACAAAAAAAACCTTTGGTTGAATACAAATTATGCCATATATTGGGTCTCATTCACACAGAAATCTTACAAAGACCAAACACCCCTTCTATTGGAATAAGGTTCACGTGATGTGACTCCATTCTCAAAGCCCCTCTGTGCTAATCCAAACCAAAATACCCAGTGGTTTATCTTTTTCTTCGTATAGAGCAATTTTGGTCATGAAAAGATGTATCTGAAAGACTGAAAACTCTAATGGCTAAAAAATGCAGCTCAAGAGATGAAAATCTAAATTTGAGAACTCAATCTTGGAAGCATTTTTCTTACTCTCACTTAAGTTCTGCTAGGGACCAGTCAACCAACTAAGTCTCCCTTTGAACCATAAAATCTGTTAGTGTGCTCCTTAGTTCTAAACCAAACAAGCAAACACAAAGGCCTATTCCAAGGATAGATTCTATCCTAAAGTAGAGACTCAGAAAGATGGGGTTAGGAGATAATGGCATGTGGTGAACACAATTAAAACCTCATAAAGAGGGAGAGGAGAATAAAACGGGGCAGACTTTCTACAAGTCCCTCAGACTGACTTGGTTTAGAAGTCTCATTGAGGGGCAGAGAGAACACGGTGCAAACGCAGGCACCTGAGGTTGAGGACCAGCTCTCTGATCGCTCGCTGCACGACATAAACAGACGGCGCAGCCCCTCTGGAACTTAGTCGCTCCATCTGCACAAACAGAATAAAGGCACCTGCCTCAACGGTCTGAGGCTGCAATGAGGAAATGTGTATGAAAACTTTTTCAGTTCTGCAGAGCTGCCTAAACCAGTATCAGGTATTATGACAGCAGAGATTTTAGCCATCATGTAAAGGGAGAACCGATGGTCTTTCCGATCCCCTGCAATCTGAACATTATGAGTCTATAAAAGTTAAGTTACGACATAGTTAACCTCTTCCCTTACTAAAGGGAGAATATCAAGAAACAGAAAGAACCCAAACTAAAAAGAATTGTTTCTTTCCTTTTCCTCTTCCAGATTTAAGAATAACATTGATTTTATGGTGCTATTAATTTCTACAAAGAGCTTTCACAACTAAGATCTCCTTTTAGCGTTGCATCAGCCCTGAAAGGGAGATTACTATTGTCCTCATTTTGGAAATGGGGAAAGTGAGAGGGGCCAAACTGCCCAATGTCACAAAGTTAATTCATGATAAAGACAAGCTCAGATAGTATCTGAGGGGAAAAAACTTCAGTGTCACAGACACCTGGGTTTGAAGCCCAATTTTCCCACTTAGGACCTTGGTGAACTTGAGAAATTTATCAATCATTCTGAGGCTTGCATGTAAAAGGAGATAATAATGCTTATCACCTACAGCACTGTAAGAATTAAAAAATGAGAATGTATGTTAAGAAACCAGTACAATAGATGGCAGAGAAGGTGTTCAGCAATGGTCACTATCAATTACTATTCTTGATTCCTAGCCTAATATTATTCTCTATTCCATTGCTCTTCATTAACATACATTCTTTTAAAGACTTTCTCAGCCACCAAAAACAACTCCCAATATTAACAAATACATACTATTCCTCTAAAGGGTATATAAGCCAAAAAAAATCATGATATTATATGACAGGATACCATATCCTGGAAAACTTAAAATAAATCAGATATGTAACAATGATCACTGACATCAGAGTCTGGTAAATTAGCTTTTATTTCAGTCAAAAGAATTTGCTACTTCATCATAAAATATCTATTAGTAACTAGAAACACATACCATACTCTGGAAAAATATTTCCTATGAAACACATTGTCTATTTGCACAGCCTCATCTATATAAAGAACCTTTCTTGTTTTCTTCCACTTTCTTCTTTGAAAATACCTATATTTAAGTTTTCTTACCCGTGCTATTGTTAAAGAACTAACAGGCAACTTTCTGTCATATGTCTTATCCATTAAAGATGCTAGATCAGCTGTGGAGACAAAGAAGAAAAAAGCAGCTTGTTACATATACACATTTACCAGGGAAAACCTAACAGATCCAACTCTTGCAGATGGCTGCCATCATTATGGAACCAGTATAGAACAGATGAACTTTCTTGCTCTTTTTAGAAATTATTTCTGTATAAATTAAAGAGGATAAAAATATTAGTAACATTTAAAACTGATTTACTGAATTGCAGTAAGGATAATGTTTTAAATGCTACCACATATTTAGTTTTGAAAAATGTATCAATAAAGTGTCTCTGGAAGGAGACACAAGAGAGTGCTGTTATTACTGACAGACTCTGCTGGAAGGAGGATGCGGTCAGAGGCCAAGGGAGGAGTTCTCTTCACTGCTTGCACGTTTTGCATTTTGGCCCAGGTAAATATATTAGCTATTCAAAAATTTTTTATCTTCTTCTTCTTTTTTTTTAAAGGATAAACTTCATTAAACAAACTGAAAAACAAGAATCTCCCTTGACATCATATCTCCTCCTCCTAATTCTCCTGTGCTCTGGCCCCATCAGCAGCAAGACAACTCAAAAGTCATACCCGATACAACGGTGGCTGCTTCCTTAGTTCCATTCTCACTTGAGCTCTCTCAGATCAGATTTTGGTTTCCACCACTCCGCTAATCCCAATGCCCTCCTCCCCACTGTTAAATCCAGTGGTAAATTCTTTTCTTGGCCGTTCGTGAGCATTTGATACAGTTGACCTTTGTGAAATACTCTTCTTTCTCTCTCGGGTTCCTTGGTAGGATCTCTGCCTCTTCTTGAGTCCTAAATGTTAGATTACCCTAAGTCTAAACAGTAGACTCTTCTCTTCACCCACGCACTCTGAGAGCCTTAATCATCATCTATAGATTACTGACTCCACACTTACATGTTTACCCTGCCTCCTGCCTGTAACTCCAGACATGTATTACCAAGTGTCTAATATGTAACTAAACATTACATGTCCTCTTTATTTTCCAGTTTTCTACTCTGAATCTGCTTTTCTCCAAGCCTTTCCCATCTCATAAATGACCACTACCTTCAGTGGTTCGCTCAGGCCAAAGATCTAGGTGTTATTCTTGACCCCATCATTTTTCATACTCTATAACCAACTGTCAGCACATTTTATGCTCTAGATTTGAAATATAATTCTTTCTCACCACTACCACTGCTAAGCCACCAACACCTCTCCCCTCCTGACTAGTCACCTTAACTATGACCCCCACACTTACAATTTAATCTCCATGTAGCCCTTTAAAAGATAAATCACATCCTTTGGAAAGCATTATGCTAAGTGAAATAGGCCAGGTGGTGAAAGACAAATACCATATGATCTCACCTATAAGTGGAACCTAGTCAACAAAACAAGCAAGTAAGCAAAATATAACCAGAGACATTGAAATAAAGAACAAACTGACAGTAACCAGAGGGGAGGTGGGAGGGAATCACAGCGGGAAAAGCGGGAAGGGTTGTCAAGGAACATGTAAAAAGGACATGCAGGCAAAGCCAAAGGGGGATAGGATCGAGGGTGGGAGGTGGGGATGGCTGGATGGGTAGGAGTGGTGGGGAGAAAATGGAGACAATTGTAGATGAACAACAATAAAAAAGAGAGAAAAAATAGACAGGGGGATGTTAAGAACAGTATAGGAAATGGAGTAGTCAAAGAACTTATATGCATCACCCATAGACAAAAATTAAGGGGGGATTACTGGAGGGAATGGAGAGTACCTCATGGAAGGGACAAATGGGGAAAATTGGGCAACTGTAATAGCATAATCAATAGAATATATTATAAAAAAAGATAAATCACATCCTGTCATTCTCTTTCCTCAACCAGCTAATAGCCTCCTGTTGTTAGGGTAGAATGAGCAGCCAGAGGGGAGATACACACAGGGCCCTCAACATTACAATCTAACAAAGAACTTTCCACAGGAGGCTGGAAGCAAACGCTCACACAAAGACCCAGTCATCCTGAGCCTGGTCCGATAAGACTGCCAGGCGTCCGGGACAACAAGTGAAACTATGACAGAGTGTGTCAGTGGAGGGGGACCCCTTGAAAGTCTGTGTATCACCTCCACTGGCTGGGAGAAGGAAAACCCTGAGACTGTGTATTCACCCCCAGGCCTGGAAGGGAGCAGGGGAGGGAGTCCACAGTGCCCAAAGAAAGAAACCATAAAACAACTCTGGTTAACTGCCTGCCTTCCATCACATGTGCAAAATGAACACACAGACTCTAGAGCAAGATAAGGATTCTGGCTAACAGACCCCCACCCATACCTAAGTTTGGGTAGTCACATCTCCCTGGGAAGGCTGGCACCACCTTTACCTGTCAATCAATATGTAAACTTCTTCACCCCCACCCCAAATAGATAAGTCCTCAGATCAAACGACTCTCTCTTGACCTCTTCTCCTGGCATTTTCTCTTGGCCTCGTGGCTCTCTTGCCACATGGGGGACCCCTTGCCAGCCAACCTCTGGCCAGTGGTGGGGACCCTGGTCATCCTTTTCAGCCATCCAGCTTCTAGCCACCTGGCCCCTGGCCATCAGGGTGCTGGCCACCCAAGCCTCCGGCCACCCTACTCTTGCCACCCCTGCTCTAGCACCCTTGCTTTGCTTTCCTATTAGAACTTAGTGCTAATGAACTTCACATGCACACTAGAAGGCTAGTAGGCTCGCTGGCCTGAAATTCTTCACTGCATCGGTGGGAAGAACTGAGTTTCTGGGAGTTTCTCCAGTAACACTATCACACTTAGAATAAAATCCAAAATATTTCCTATGACCTGAAAATGCCCATGAGCTGTTCTTTTTATTTATTTATTTACTTATTTATTTATCTCTTTCATGCTTATAAGTAAAATCCATGAAGGCAAGAAATCAATTCACTGATAAATTCTTAGTCTGTAATAGTTCCATAAAAGGCACTCGATAGCCCTGGCTGGTGTGGCTCAGTGGCTTGAGTACTGGCCTGTGAACCAAAAGGTCACTGGATCGATTCCCAGTCAGGGCACATGCCTGGGTTGTGGGCCAGGTCCCCAGTAGGGGGTGCATGAGAGGCAACCACACATTGATGTGTCTCTCCCTCACTTTCTCCCTCCTTTCCCTTTGTCTAAAAATAAAATAAATAAAATCTTTTACAAAAAAGGCACTCAGTAAATACCTAAAGAAATGAATATAAGAAAGAAAGGAAGAGAGGGAGGGGGAAAAGAATGGAAAGGAGAAAGAGGAAGGAAAAAGAAGTAACTGGATTTCCAAGGGTTGTTTTTTTTTCTGTTATTGTTTTTTCTCCCCAGTGGAAGAAACCAGCATCAAGTAATGAGACAGAGGTAATCAATGGACCAGTAATTGTTGAAGCCCCACTGCAATGCATTTAGCCTTTTTTCCTCTCCTTTCCTGGAGGTAATGATCTCAATGATTCAGTAGCTACTAGGGGAAAGCAACTTTGCAAAATCCCTAAGACTTACTATGATATAAAAGTAATTAGCTTTTCTTATGACTATCTTAATGGCATTAACACCAGGTGATTAAAGAATGGTAAAGAAACCTTGACCCACCGCTGCTGCCACACAAGCAAAGATGTCCCTAAAACCTCTTCACATTAACACAAATTAATATTGTTACATCTATTTGCTCACAGAACATGAAACAGCACTCCCATGACCCCAAATCTTTATAATCCCTTTGTGATACAGGCCCCTGTGTTGAGACGATAGGCATTATAAAAAATGATGTTCCCGTACTCCAAATCTGAAGTTTAACTTCAAAAAACGTGGATCGGGATCTACTGGCCTAACTAAAACAGCCTCCGTTTCCTCGTGGATCTCACACAGGGTGCAGCGCAGACCTGAACACAGCATCAGTGTGGCTTCCGTAGTGTGGTAACTCAAGATTCCATTCTAACCCTCCCCAAGACATGCTCAGCCAAGTGAAATCGGCTGGGGCCTCAAAAAGGGCAACAGCTGCAAGCCCAGCATATGATGAATAACATTTGCATATTGCAAGTCAGAGGAAGGTTTGCTGCTAAATATAATACGTGACCAATCACCTCAGATGATAGTGCTGGCGTGATGAATGAGGCAGAAAACTGCGTGGAGCAGGGCCGGCCAGGAAAGCTGGGGCAGCTGCGCCCTGCAGAGGGCCAGCTCCACAGGCTTCTGGACTGCGGGCTTCAACAGTCAAAATCACACTTCACGTTTCACTGAGGGGCCAGCAGACGCCCAGGTTCCATTCAAAGGGATGTGCTAAAACACATGCTTTCTTGCCTGTCATTCAGCACCTCGGGAGTACACATGAGAAAGACTATACGGAAAGCGGATCGGAAAAATTCTTCCTTTAACAAAACATAAAAGCTGTACAGATAGTGTAGACTATGTCGAGAAAATGACATGTAAACTAGTGCAAAATCCCCTTCTTGTTTGGAGAAAACAATGCCACTGGTGATCTAAGGACATGCATGTTGAGGACCCCACACTATTTCAAATACAGGGGTGTAATGGTTCACCCCTAAACCTGGCTGAGGATTTGAATCATCTGAGGGGCTTTAAAACTCCAGATTCCTAACCTCAAACCCTGAGGGCAATTCTAATTCTGTAGGTTTGAGGTGAGACCAGAAAATTCCAAATTTTTGAACAAAGCCCCAGGAGACTGTCAGGCAGCTGCTCACAATCTGCAGACTAGAGGGGGTTGTATTTGAAAAACACCATGGAGGGAACATAAAATAAGCCTTGGATATTCCTCCTAAGCTGGAGGAATATATTAAATGGAATTTTGTTTCTGGAATAAGGCGGAACTAAATGTCCTTTAATGTCCTTTAAAACATTCCTCCTCCTATAATAACACTTAAATATTTCAAAGTTTCTTCCAAATACAACTGAGTTTGGTTGCACAACTCTGTGAATGTCCTAAAACCATTAAGTCGTACATGTTAAAGGGTGTGTTTTATGGTATGTGAATAAATCTCAATAAAGCTGTTATTAAAAATCCATGTATCTGAGCTTTCAA